ATCGTTCAATTTGAAGTTTGCATAGTTGCTTGGTCGCCCGTAGGATGCGTCGCGGAAATTTCCGAGGGCAGTGTACGCGCGTTCCGTTTGTCTTCCTCTGACACCGTCCGGGTGTGTGCGTGCGAAGCAGAGACGATTAAAGGAGCGAGCACGGGCGAAAAAAATTCACGCGGTGAAACAGAGGCCCCCGGCATCCTGCCGGTCCCCTTTCCGTACGGATAGACGTCGCGATAAAACGCGGTTAATGCGGAAATTAACCGTTATATCTTTGCACTTATTTACTCTTACGCGCGACGGCGAGATAACGCGTCCCGGCGAGAGCGTGTTGTATTTTACATAATGCAATTAGGGTAGGGGGCAGGAGGAGGAAGGGAGTCTTTCTCTCTCTTTCTCTCTTTCTCTCCTTCTCGGACCACGCGTTGCTCGTAAACGCTCCCGCGTAGAGGCCGCGATCCGAGGATCCGTTAAAACCATTCTTCGCCAGGTGTCTTGAATTACCTTCTCGCCGAGAGAAGGCGAGAGGGAAGGAAGAAGACCCACTTTTGTTCGTTCGCTCAACGGGGAGACTAACGGGGCCTTTAGCTAGAGCGATACTGTTTAACGCGACGGACGGCTACCGTTTTCGCCTGGTCCTCCCATCCGGCGTGTCATTTTTCGCCGTGATCGATGATCCGCCGACAATTCCGCGGCAACCTCTTTAGCGAGTTCCATCTCCCTCGAAACGGGCTACTTTGAGATGGAAATGGCTCTGCGTTCACGAGAGTCGAGTGGATAAAGACGGCGCGAGAAAGAATGAATGTCGAGTCTATATGTGAATTAATTATACGTCATAATTGGGCGACGCGAAAGTCAGCTGCGATTGCGGATGGTTTAATAGTAATGTATATAACGAATAGCTAGACTAGTCCCCTAATAACACACATATCCCGAAGACGTTCAGAGAACATCCTGAGGATGAAGACGTTTCATTGTTCAATGTCCTCTGGATATTTGAGAATGTCTTTCGGACACATATGGGGTACTATTAGGGATTTTTGGTGCAAAATGTTGAAGGCAGAAATAACGATCTTGACAGTTTTAAATAACTGGAACAGCGATGATTCCACATATCCTGGGGACGTTTAGAGAACATCCTGAGGATGTTCAATGTCCTCTGGATATTCTGAGAATGTCTTTCAGATACTTCATATGGTGTACTATTAGGGATTTTTGGTGCAAAATGTTGAAGGCAGAAATAACGATCTTGACAGTTTTAAATAACTGGAACAGCGATGATTCCACATATCCTGGGGACGTTTAGAGAACATCCTGAGGATGTTCAATGTCCTCTGGATATCCTCAAAATATCTTTTAGCTATGATGTGCTATTAGGAGCTTTTGGTGGTAAAATTGATGAAGGCAGAAATAACGATCTTGACAGTTGCGAATAACCGAAAGAACCATGATTCCACATATCCCGAAGACGTTCAGAGAATATTTCGAGAATGTTCAATGTCCTCTGGATATCCTAAGAATGTCTTTCGGATATGGTGTGCTATTAGTGTCTCTCGGTGGCAAAAGGTTGAAGGCAGAAATAACGATCTTGAAAGTTGCAAATAACTGGAAGAGCGATGATTTCACATCGATCGAGAGATTTTCATTCGACAGAAGCAACCCTTGTCTCGCACACATGTTACTTGACTCATTCATTCGTATGACGCGACATGCCTCACTGAGGGTTTCGCCGTGAAGACGAGAGAAAAAGACACGACGGATATCCGTAGCACCGGAGTAGGCAGTTTCCGTCAGCATCCACCAGATGACTCCCATTCTCGGCAGAATCCGCGAGTGATGCTGGCGGGAGAGTGGATTTCCATCTCTCCATCCGTTCTCCCCATCGTCCCTGATGTCGGCGCGAGTCGGCCCAATCGGACGACGGCTTCCTCGGGTTCTCGCGATCGCTATTGGCCGGCACCAAGCGAGTTTATATCGAGCGGACGTCGGAGGGCTGCGCCTTCGACGGAGGCTGCTTACCCTCATCTACCCCGAGAGAGCGAGAGAGAGAGAGAGAAAGAAAGAGATAGAAGGCGAGAGAGCAGGAGATAAGCTTGGGCTGCTTCTTCTTCTTCTTCTTCTTCTTCTTCCTCTTCCTCTTCTTCTTCTTCTTCTTCTTCTTCTTCGTTAGTATCGTTTCCAGCCGTCTGTTCGTCCGGAAAGTCTCTCTGATCGATATGACAGTATCCTCCTCCCTCGCCGCAATGACAGCTTTCTTATGCGCGCGCTCGCGTTCGAGAATTGTACACGCGATTGAAGTAGATCGGATTGAATCAGTAGCCTCCAACTACAAGACGTTCCTTCGGCAAACTTGACTTTTCATTGAAAAATATATTTGCTCGCAGATTCTATAATCGAAATTATGTCATAACAAGAACTGACAGTCTTTCTTTCTGAAATCATTTGGGATCGAGGGAAGACATTGTTAAATTTTTAATCAACCCCAGATGACGGTGTTCGTATGTATGTGATTGCCGAAATTAAAATAAAAACTTCGTTTTTACTTACTTATTTTTTTCGATTTAACGAAGTTTCATACTGATAGGATGCTTATAATTTAGTTGAATTTAATATGTTCGATTTGCGTTGTTTGAAATGTCAACTTGTATATTGACCACTGAAGACATTTGGTCGCTTAAATTTATCCTTTGATAAAAACATACCTTTAAAAAAAGGTTAAAAGGCGCCTAGTAGTGAAAATTTACAACCATTACAAACCCATGCAAGTGTAGAATCGTACTACAAAAGTACGTTATTTCTGCCTTCATCAATTTTGCCACCAAAAGCTCCTAATAGCACATCATAGCTAAAAGATATTTTGAGGATATCCAGAGGACATTGAACATCCTCAGGATGTTCTCTAAACATCCCCAGGATATGTGGAATCATCGCTGTTCCAGTTATTTAAAACTGTCAAGATCGTTATTTCTGCCTTCCATTTTGCACCAAAAATCCCTAATAGTACACCATATTATCCGAAAGACATTCTCAGAATATCCAGAGGACATTGAACATCCTCAGGATGTTCTCTAAACGTCCCAGGAGAATCATCGCTCTTCCACTGTCAAGATCGTTATTTCTGAAGTAGTCATATGAAGTAGAAACATTCTCAGAATATCCAGAGGACATTGAACATCCTCAGGATGTTCTCTAAACGTCCCCAGGATGTGTGGAATCATCGCTGTTCCAGTTATTTAAAACTGTCAAGATTGCTATAAAAAGGTAAAGATATTATTCCAAATTATCACGACTAATGAATTGCGTGCTAAAGAGAATTAAGGAGCCACCAGGTGGGACGTCGAGATTAACGACAACTCGCGCGCGTTTAACGCAAGGTTCGATTTGTAGCGCCGGCTCTTCGGGATCGTGCCACCCGCGGTTAATGAGCCTAATGGGACATCAGGAGCGAAACGACTCTGTCGCACGGATTCCGTCGCGATGAATTTTCGCCTCGAGCGACTTCGCTTTCGCTCACCGCGCCTGCTCCCGGCCAAATATAGTCGAGCGAGTGTGAACGCGCGAAACCAGGCAAATCCGGAAGAACTGGTCGGACAATGCGTGTAGCCCCGGACTGTCACTCGCGCGTCACTTCTTCAGCCGCAATTAAAAGGCGCTCGCCTTCTGCGGTACGAAAACACGTCATCGGACTCGAGCGATAACGAGCTGTTATTTTTCTCGCAACGCGCGCGTTGCGTCACGGAGAAATTGGAAACCGCTTCATTCAATTTAAAACTGTCGAAAACTTCAAAGAGTGGATGAATTTTTACGTCTTTTCCCCGCCGGTGGTTAATTTTTTGAACACACGATTTTTAGAATTAACGCGCGACAAAATACTCGGGGACGCAAATTTATCGACTCGTGTGATTTCGTGCTTCGAGGTAAACCCTCGAGCTCTCGTTAGCAGAACGGGCGACAGTCCTCGAAGAGACAGAGTGACAAACTGGTGGCGATATTAAAATCGCCGCGGGAACACGTTTTTCGCCGCAGCTGGCGTCGTTTAAGTTATAATTTGTACCTGTACGCGTGACTGACGCGTGACTAACCACTCGCGTGTCACGTCATTTCTCTTCCCGGGAGCTCTTCCCATTGGGATACCCCGATTGCAAATTAATTGAGAGTGAAATGTGAGCGAGCGCTTTGCGACCGAGACGTCGCGGCTAATCATGAATAATGAATGCCGCGCGCTAACGTAGTTTGGAACGTTTCCGGAAGCACGCGAAATCGGTGATGCCACCGAAAGGAAATGAAGTGGAAAATTCAACAATGACTTAATAAAGTGGCTCCACGAACTATACTATGCTTTGCTCAACGCGAAGCAAGATTTTTCTCTAATTTAACTTACATAATTAAATAGAGAATCGTATCCTCGTTTTTGTCTATAAAAGTTTAGACAAAAACCTCGAAATACTCGAACTTTTGAAGTATTTCAAATAACGCAGCGATTACACACAACCCATAATGGATAATCATATATAAATAAACCCATGAAGATAGAAGTTATAGATTAGATAAAATCGAAATTTGAATGTTTCAAGTATCTCAAATAATGCAGCGATTACACACAACCCATAATAGATAATCATAAACGAATCCATGAAGACAGAAGATTATAGATTAGATAAAGTCGAATACAAATGAGATACGCGTTCACAGAAGGTAGACAATAAATGACAAGGCATTTCAGGCAATATGTTTTCCGAGAAGTCCTTCAGGAAAACGCGGCGCTACATGAACAAACAACATTATCACCCACACCAGCACGGACAATCAACGACAACCATCGTTAAAAAGATAGAGCGAGAGAGCAAACCGCTCTCTCGTGGAAGAGAGCGAGAAAAAGAGAAAGAGAGAGATGAGGAAGCCGCAAAGGCGCCGGCGCAGCGCGCAGACGCCCGGCGTCCCGACGTCTCTCTGAACCCCACGACGCGGCCTGAAAAACCCCACCCTGTCATCGCCCGGCGAGATCGCAGCATGAGGGGATCGCACCACCAACCCCGCTACCCTGCCGTGGTGACGTCCGCCCCTGGCCCCGGGTGGCCGTTCGAGGATCGTAATATTATGCCGACGGGGAGCAGCCTCCATCGCCGCGTCCTTCGAACTTCCTTCTCCGGCCGCGAGTTCTCCGCGAGTTCCCGCCGACTTTTCTATGCGCGCACGAGTCCTCGCGAATTCTAGTAGATTCATCGTATCGGATTGATGTATCCGCTGATTGGAAATGAGGAGGGTGCTCCGATTTGTGATAGGAGAAACTCAGAGCGGTGATTAGTGTTATGTGCTTATGTTTCGCGGCTTAGAATTCGAGGAAAGGGAGGATCGACGTGGCTCGGAAGGATTGAAAGATCTGACGAGGATGCGGTGCTTCGGAAGAAGAAAATGAACTGGTTAGTGCCAAATAGAATCAGAGTTTTATAATTATTCTGATGTTTTCTCGAATTATTTTTAGTGATTAATCAAAGATCTTAACAGCGCTGTTTATGTGATTTCCATCCAGATTTAATAAAGTATGTAAAGTCTGAAAATATTTTTTAACTTTAATCCAAATTTGTAAATCTGAAGTTTTGACGTCTTTCCGTCTACTTTCTGGTTTCACGGATTCAGGAATATAAATTTGAGAATTCAAGAATTTCAGGATTCGCTAGTATTTAACTCATTAGTTTTGGTTAAAAAAAATTAGCGAAAGAAAGATTAATATTATTGTGCAACAATTAAAATTGTTGGCATAAATTTGTGAAATTTGTATTCGTGGATTTTGCTAACCGCAACCGTGATTCACATATCTTTTTCTACGGAGTTAGCCAACATGTCACTTTTAACATTGGCGACCACCCTGATCTTTTTCTTGCCTAACCGCAATCGAAACCTAAAGATCTTATTCAAGCTTTCTTCACTCAATAAACATATTTCCTCTCTTTTTCTGATATACATATATACAATATAATAAATTTTCTTCTTACTAAATAAGGTTCTTCAATTTAGAATTGGATATCTAATATTGTTAAAATTTTTAAAAAATTTTTAAATTAATAAATTAAACAATATTGCAATTAAATGCAGATTATTCAATTTTTCTCGAAAAGTCATTTTATTTTTTTTTTTTTCAAAGTATGTAAGCTTTCTTCACTCAATAAACATATTTCCCCTTTTTTCTGATATACATATATAATAAATTAATATAATAAATTTTCTGTTTACTAAATAAGGTTCTTCAATTTAGAATTGGATATCTAATATTGTTAAAAATTTTTTTAATTTTTAAATTAATAAATTAAACAATATTGCAATTAAATGCAGATTATTCAATTTTTCTCGAAAAGTCATTTTATTAATTTTTTTTTTTCAAAGTATGTAAGCTTTCTTCACTCAATAAACATATTTCCCCTTTTTTCTGATATACATATATAATAAATTAATATAATAAATTTTCTGTTTACTAAATAAGGTTCTTCAATTTAGAATTGGATATCTAATATTGTTAAAAAATTTTTTTTAATTTTTAAATTAATAAATTAAACAATATTGCAAATAAATGCAGATTATTCAATTTTTCTCGAAAAGTCATTTTATTAATTTTTTTTTTCAAAGTATGTAAGCTGTATAAGAGTATATATAGAATTTTGCGCGTTTCTTTCGCGGCGCAAATTCCAGCATTATCGCGAAACGATGAACCGAAACGTGTCGTGTAGAGAAATTATTCTCCCTGCACACTCTCGCGGCTTTTCTCTTGTCCAGAGCATGATTGATGACCGCAACAACTGCCTGGTCAGTTCGAGGCAGCCGAGACCGTCGGAATATCCGGCGTTGGAACCGCGCCGCGTGCTCTGGAAAAGTCGGCGAGGAGTCCAAGGTGACCGCGATTTAGATGGAAATAGCCAAGCGGGAATAAATTTGACCGCGAGTGCTGTTGCTTCGTCGTCGGCAAACGAGAAAGGAGGGACGACCAGCAGCGGAATTTGCCGTCGCGTCATCAGCAGCGGTTTAACCGATTTCAGGTAAGTTAAAGCGATCTTAAAGTATCTCGCTTGATTCGTCAAAAAATGAAAAAAAATTCAAGGTCCCTCGCTAAGATGTCAAGTCGTAATAAAAGACTTTCAAGAAATTGCGTTCGCTTCAAACATATACGGTACATATTGTAAATTATTAAAACGTATATAAAAAAAGCTCAAAATTTATGAGCAATCTATGAAAAATTGAACGACATCCATAAAATTAGAAATACGAGCTCAATTTGATAGGTAATAGAATATTTAAATTTATATATAATTTTACATTATAAATTCCAATACTTTTTTTTTATGGAATAATTTTTGTAAGAATTTCGAGAGTCGATAATAATATAATTTTCAAGTAAATATGATATTACTCTTCAATATTACTGCAATCTGATCAAATATATACATTTGATCCGTCAATTTGGATATTCCGTTAATGCTTTCAGCGCAAAGCATGCAGTTTCGCTGACGTAACCACGCGTATAGATTTCTCGCTGCAGAAATTCTGTTATCGAGGGATCGCGAATCGATTTTATGGAAATACGGCAACGCGATAATATCAGGGAAAAAAATCTCTCTCTCTCTCTCTCCGCGCGCTATTGCGGACATTACACCGCCGCGATGCAAATCCGCGATGCATTTTGCTTTTCACCTAAAACAATGCTATTTCCAAGGATGGATTAATTAACGGCCAAGAATCGTGCTTGTGATCGCCGTTGCGTTACACGCGAATAATACTCGAGACGATGTTTCCGGTATTTGAATGTTCGAATGAAGATTGCGAAATAACAAGTTATATGTTTTTGTATGCTTCAATTGAAATTTATTAAAGCTACATAATCTCTATTTAAATTCGAACAATTTTCAAGATGAATAATTTCCAAGTAATCAACCCGTTAAAGTTAATTTTTATGAGACTTTTTTTATTACTCGGAAACGAGAAAGTTCATTAACGGATCGCAAATTATTTACATCGGTTCTTGATTGTATATATGTCATCGAATAAATCTGCGCTTATTGTAATTCTTAAAGATATTGAAATATCAAATCTTCGTGTCTCTTACCTTGTGCGATGACAGGAAGAAAAATCCGGGGTTCAGGGTTTTTCTCAAATGATCGAATGATCGAGTTTATTATGTATTAACATTTATAAGTTCTAGTCAAAAGTTCTAACGATTATACTATATAGTCGAAGTCAATGACTGATGAATATATGATAGAGATTGAGACCATACCATTCATCAAATTATTTAGGCAATCTATAATCCATGACAGAATTTAAGACAAAAATAACTTCACTGGCATTTCGTATATACATATATAAAAATATGGATATCCTTATATGTATTTTTTAATTCTTAAAATGTATATTTCCTGCATCATACGACATGTAAAATTAGAAACAATAATTCTCTCTGTCTCAAACACTTTATTGCAAATTTATATAGATTGTCTAAAAATAAAGATGTATATATTATTAAAAAAAAGACTTGCCTTTTAAAATTGAAATTTGCTTAACTCTTCTCGATGATCCTTAATTAACTCAGCAATCATATCGTATACGGAGAGAATTTTCTCTTAAAATTTACCCTGAAAATCATGGTAATCGCGCGATAATATGGTATTGGAAGAATCTTATAAGAGTTTCTCTGATTAATATTTACCACAATAAAAATATTAATTGTACATAGTAAATTTAACTAAGAATTCACTATGTATAGTAAATTTACTATGTATAGTAAAATTTTAGTAAAATTTACTATGTACACATTAATATTACTATGTACTATGTATTTTACTATATACTATGTACTATGTATTTTACTATGTACTATGTACATAGTAAGATTTACTATGTATTTTACTATGTATTTTACTATGTACTATGTACATAGTAAGATTTACTATGTATTTTACTATGTATTTTACTATGTACTATGTACATAGTAAGATTTACTATGCACATAGTACATAGTAAAATACATAGTACATAGTATATAGTAAAATACATAGTACATAGTAATATTAATGTGTACATAGTAAATTTTACTAAGATTTTACTATACATAGTAAATTCTTAGTTAAATTTACTATGTACATAGTAAATCTTACTGTACATATTAATATTTTCATTGTGGTAAATATTAATTCGAGAAACTCTTATAAGATTCTTCCAATACCATATTGTCGCACGATTACCATGATTTTCAGGGTAAATTCTAAGAGAAAATTCTCTCTGTGTACATATATACGCTTGTGGTAAAAGTTGGTGAACACACCGCAGAATGCAGCGGTATGCGTCGTAGCGGGTCGCGTCCAGGGAGATGCTGAAGGAAGTCGGTTGCGGGAGCACAACGCCTCCGCCAGGGGACGGCGGCGGAGCGAATAGTCGACAGGTCGGGGCGAACGAAGGCGGCGGCGGAAACGGCAGCGGGGGTGGCACCTCGGAGGGTGCCCTTGGCTGCGGAGGCTGCGGAAGGGAGATCGCCGAGCGCTACTACCTAAGGGCGGCCGATCGCGCATGGCACTGCGACTGCCTGCGCTGCTGTCACTGTCAGGTCCAGCTGGCCGCCGAGCTCACCTGCTTCGCCAGAGACGGCAACATCTACTGCAAAAAGGATTACTTTAGGTTAGCGTGCGCGATCGAGAAAGCGTGTTTCTGAAAGAGAATGAAAGATCATCGATTATTTGAATTTAATTATTATTGTACTTTAGTTTTAGTCTACGCTTTTTCTTTAGGGGGAACAGTGGGCGCAGAGGGATTTATTTAAAATTAAATCTCGATTTGAGATTTATTTTATTTTTTGGTATCGTACCGAGGAAAGTTAGTCATATTTTTGTGAATGCGCTCTTATCCTTACGAAGGGTACACAGAAGGGTTTACTGAAATAAAATACCAGATTAATCTCTAAGATTAAATAAATAACAAAATAAATAAATAAAATAATTAAATCCGAATAAATAAATCTTAATTGAGATTTTTTAAATTTCTTGCTATCGTATCAAAGAAAATTAAAGTCATCTGCTTCTTGAATTTATTATATTATAATTTAATTGTCGCATTTAATTTTCTCGATTACATTCTTCCTTAGGGAGGATACATAGAAGAGTTTATTAAAATAAAATCTCGAATTAAGATTTATTTAATTTCTTGCTATCGTACCAAGGAAAATTATAGTCATGTTTCTTGAATTTATTATATTACAATTTAATTATTGTCGGATTTAATTTTCTCGACTACGCTCTTCCTTAGGGAGAATACACAGGATTTATTTTTATTAAAATAAAACCTCGGATTGAAATTTATGTAATTTCTTGATATCGCACCAGGATTAATGTCCTGTACATACGAATCGGTTTCAAAAAATTAATTCTTCCTTGAAACTGACATCCGTGAAAAAATATAAATAAAAAAAAAGATTTTTCAAAAAGACACATTCAATTTGAAAAAATCGACGAGATTTGTCTTATAAGGATATTAATTAATAAATTTGAATTTTCTAAAGATTTTTATTATTAAAAAATTCAAAATTCTTCAGCTTAAAGTCCAACAATCTAGGAATGTCTAGGAGCTTTGGAAAGCAATCTATATAAACTTGTAGATAAATAAATGTCGTGTATCCTGTGGAATAATGCACGCGCGCGTTTACGCGATGACGTTCGGCGTTTCAGGACGAGGGTAGAATGAAAGGCTGAGAAGCGAGTTCGTTAGAGCGAACAGGGGAGGAATTCAACAGCCGTCGTCCATGCAATATGCAACAACGCGAGCCCTTTGTTTCCGTCTACGCGAATGGTGAACGGTCCGAACGCTTCGATCGCTTACAAAATTCACCTCTCGGAATTCGTATAATGTATTCACAAATACTCGCACAAAGCGAATAATGCACTATTAAATTCTCAAACACAAATATATCTTCTCACTCCTTAATGATTCCCTCTGCATTTAAAGTTTGGAACAAAATTAAGAAAAATATTTCCATCTAGTTTAATTGCCATTAGAAATATATAACAGTGTATATGGGGGCTGTGTGATATATTAATTAATAATGATTATAAATGAATAATAATATATTTTAACGTGAAATTTCGAAGTTTGGAATTTTGAAGAAGCGGCGATTTTTCTGCTCGCAGATTATTCGCGGTGCCGCGATGCTCGCGATGTCATGCCGGCATCTCCGCCTCGGAGCTGGTGATGCGGGCGCGCGACCTGGTGTATCACGTGGCGTGTTTCACTTGTGCCTCGTGCGGCACCCCGCTGAACAAAGGCGACCATTTCGGTCAGCGGGACGGACTCGTGTATTGTAGGTAGGTGAGAAACAGGAGCGTCTGATCATTACTATCCTTCAAAGGCCGCGTCTCTCCTTGTTATCAACGAGTTCGATGACGAGGTTGACAGGAGCACGAGGCGCTTTTGTCGCACACCAAGTCGTTCATCCCTTTCTCCCTCCCTTCTTCCCACCCCGTCCGTGCTAATGACAGTCGTCGAGTCGCTTAATGACAGTCATTGGAACGGATGGATCCGAGTCTCGGGTTCCGAGAAGACAATTGTGACGGCGGATACCGTGGGATGTGAAAGTAGGAGATTCGCGAATGTTGCGATTTAAGGGAATAAGCTAAAGAGGGAAAAGAATGACAGACTTTATCCCATGGAATCTAACGTTCACGCAAGTCAAACTCGTTCATCGAAACTCGACGCATAACGCGGAGGTCAGGTCGTCTATCGACTACTTGACAGCTTGACGACTGACAACTGCAACGTCGCTCCCAAGACCACACTACGAGCTGCTGTGCTGCGCCGGGGATTACGCGGGTGCTGCTGGCGGCATCGAGGACCTCGGCTCGCCAGGGGTGTCGCCGCTTCCGGCGTACTACGAGCAGAGCCCGATAGCCTCTTCCGGCACCGTGCAAAAGGGCCGACCCAGGAAGCGGAAGCTGTCGGAGGTCACCGGCTCCGAGCTTCCCGTCACAATGAGACTGGCCGCTGGCGCGCTTGGTGAGTCAAGCCAATGTATGTTCCCGCGATCTTGTACGATCGTGAACGATTTTCTTGCCATGCCACCCAACTCTCTTCCCTCCACCGAGAAGATCGATTCCTAGATTCCCCATTCAGCTTGTCGCGCCGTCCGCTTTTTATATTTCCAAAGAATGCAAACAAGGCGACCACCCTTCCCGTGCTTCTTCTTTCTCTTTTCTTCACCTTCTCTCTGTACGCTACAGCAAACGAGTTAATCGACGGAATTGCATTATTTACCGAGCAACGGCGAGAGAGAGGCATAATGGTGGGCGTTCTCCTTTGTGCAAATATTTGCTCGAACCCTCAAGAATCGCAGATGTTATTTCATTTCGTCCGCGATTATTCGGCTCGTTAACCGGAGCATTCGACGTTCACCGAGCGGGATATGATTCTTTGACGAATTCTCGCGCGCTACGCAGATGTCTAATTTCGCTCGATAATTTAATACGCATAATTGTTTACTCACCACCTATGTGCTTTAATTTTTGTCATTCCTTTTAAGGGGATTCTAAGTTTCCTTCCTGTTTTATCGACAAAATGTGAGGTTAGGTAAATTATGAATCTATTTATTGCTTTACGGATTGTTTTTTACCTGAATTCTTAAGATTTTATAATTCTGCAACCTAGATATATAAGATTTTGCAGATTGATAAATATTTTTTCTATACAAATTAAAGTATTAATATTAACAAATTGCGAAGTGCTGTAATTAGCCAATAAATAGATTCATAGTTTATCTAACCCTCACATTTTGTCGATAAAACAGGAAGGAAACTTAGGTTAGGTTAGAATCCTCTTAAACGGATAATAAACCAGAGTCCGATAAAAGTCGCGGATAATTTAAAGTCGTGTCGCGAGGATCATAATGGATACCTTCCCAGAACAGTTTCGCATAAATCGCTCCAAGTCAATCGTCGCGACTTCAAATGACGACCCGCTGGATACTTAGTCGAGGGAAATCGGCGGCATAAGACAATTCCGACGACCAGCTTACATTCCCTCGACTCGGTGTCATTTGTCAACCAGCACGCTTGTACATATCACATTATCCCGATGCGATTCCCGCCGGTTTTACGATCGTTTCGGCGCGGACGCGAGCCAAAGGGACGAACCGGTACACGCGCGATTCCCAGTTATTTTATAATCGACGAGGGCGAGGATCATTCTACCCGTAGACTACCGGCCGGAATTTACGACCAACAGCCATAAAATTGTCCATGATGTCCTGCGTGCGCAGCTTCGGGTGCGGCTGAGAAACACGAACAGTCGGTCCGAAGAGAGAGTCCCTCTCTCTCTTTCTTTCTCTCTCGCTGTTTTATTATCTTTATATATAATTGGGACAGTTTTTGTGCAAAAGGGAGACACGCCGACGAGATGGGAGCTAGTCTCCGCGAAAGAGACAACTCTCGTCTTCTAGCGCGAAAGCAGGAAGATTCGTCTCAACTTTGAACAAGTGCGATAGATTTTCAAATGCAAATTTTTAAATCGACAAATCCTTGAATACATTTTCAAAAATAAGATATTTGTCAATTGCATTCAATGCAGCGACTCAAGCTTGATATGATAAAAGCAAACATTTACTTTGAACATTAAATATCAGCAAATCGATACACCAACATCTCTTCTAACAACGAAGAAAGCTTCGCTCTCTGTCAATAAAATATATTTTATACATTCCTTTGTCTTCAAATCAGAGTCTCAAGAAGACGTTGTCCTTCCCCGCGAGGGAAGGTCGCACAAATCCTGGGAAGTCCTCCACTCCGAGATCAGGAGGAAAGAGAAGGTGGGCGGATTTAGCGGCTTAAGAATGAGATTACAATTTGTCAGGGCGAGTTAGAAGCCAAAATTGCCGAGGCTGAGGACTACGGACTTCTCGACGAAGAAACAAGGCTGTGCAATAGAGAAACAGAGAGAGAGGGATCCCTGTTGCTGCAAGAAACTCGCGCACAGGCGGCATTATAGCGCTCGGACCGGCCATTCTGCTGGCGGTGGCCACGCATTGGCCACAGCAGCATTCTTTTCCGGCCAGATCGGCCAATCGATGCATCTCCCGGTGCCGATACCTATCTGTCACTGTCTGCCGTTCCACGTTTCGCGGAGACAGAAAGGCCCCGCCGAGAAGAGTCGGAAGAAGAGCCGCGCCGGAAAAATTCGAATTCCGCGCGCAGAATCCATCACACGATCCAAGACACGAAGAGGTCTGTCATTTTCAGCCTTCGGCGAAATCAATTTTTCGTTCCTTCTCGACAGACGGTTTTTTGTTTTACGAGTATATTTTGACGATTGAAAAAATATCGATAGCAAAGTATTAGTCTTTGATTCTACGCGTGGAAGAAGAGAAGCGTCTTAATTGATCAATTAGCGATTATGTCACCGCGTACGAATTTATCTGAATTATGGTGGAGGAAAATAAAAAAAGGGAAAAAGAAACCAGTCGCAGGAAAGAGGACGTGCGTTGTGTGCGCAGTTGCGGTTGTTGCACGCCGGCGGGAGCGAAGAAACGTATCCAATAAATAAGACGACGAGGGTAACCATTGAATTCAATCGGGAGAAGAACGGGTTCCAGTCGACAAACGGGGGGGTTGGACGAAGGGGGAGAGAGGATCCCAGAAGTAAATCCCCGAGCACGTATGCGCCATTACTGTTTATTGTTCCGAACTTCCATTCCGAACGAACTGGCGATTCGCCGGTTCGCCAAAGGGAGAAAGAGAGAAAAGAGAGACAGAGAAGCCGTTTTCGCGAGTGGCCACAGTGGAATGTGTTTTCTTGTCGAGGTAAACGACACAGATTTCGTTTATTTCCTTTTTCCCCCGGAGATGATCGGAAAAGCACAGTTATGTTCGCGAGACCAAGAAGAGGTCTTCTTGGATCTCTGGAATTTAAATTTCATTTTTAACTAGCTGTTCAGCCGGCGCGTAAATTCAAGAAAACTACGGAATATGTATATACAGATGACGGTTGTCTTGATTTTTATATTTCTTGAATATTATTTATTTATTTACTTATTAACGGGTAAGAAAACCCTTTAGTACTTACAAAACAAATAATAACAAAAATTATACATATACAGTAAAAGAAGCAAAAAATAATAAATCAAAAAATACAACATTATTCATACCGCGGAGTTAGATTTATTATCGCAGATACGTGACATATCTCTGCATTGAATAATAATGGAGAAATTCAGTTTTGATTTTTCGCAGTAGAGTCTCGCGAGCAAATGCGCGAGATATGTCTGACGCGAGAAAAAGACACTCTCTAGTCGACGTCGCGACGTTGCAGAGCTGCTGCATCCCACGGAGCTGTCCTCGTCGATGGAGTCGCTGACCGCGTACGACGCATCCGTGGGCTCTCCCGGACCTGTGCACCAGAGCCAGCGGACGAAGCGTATGCGCACCAGTTTCAAGCACCATCAATTGCGAACCATGAAGAATTACTTCGCGATAAATCAAAACCCGGATGCTAAGGACCTCAAGCAGCTCGCGCAGAAGACCGGCCTGTCCAAGAGGGTGCTGCAGGTAAACCAAATTTTTCCATTTCCATCCATTTTGGAGCAACTTATATCATCGCCGACCACCATTCCCAATCGAAACTAATCAACGTGTGTACAATCCATTTTTGACAAACACGTCACGGCGGACTCTTTTCGCTTTTGCGTTCTCCAGGTGTGGTTTCAAAACGCGCGAGCGAAATGGCGACGGAACCTGATGAGGCAGGACGGCGGCAACGCCGGAAGTAACGTCGGCTGTTCCGGGACGCCGGTGTCATCCAGCACCGGGAATTCGCCAAACGTCGGCCCGGCCGCCAGCATCCTCGGGGACAGCAACAGCATGCCCTCGACTTCCATGGAGGAGCTGCACGCTCTTCATCATCTGCACTCGGGCGTCTCCTCTCAGGTCTCCTTCTCCGATCTCTACTGACGACGGCTTGAAATGGACGAGGACGCTTACAGCAGCCTCTCCAGCCATCTCGGATGAGGGATTATCGCGCTTCCTCGAAAATCGACCGACCCTGAAGAGCGACGATGACACGCGCATCCATCATAGTTTTCTTTTTTTTTTTTTTTAGAGAAGAAGAGACCTCACCGATGAACTGCGGCTGTTGGTGACGTATATTATGGCAGCGATATGAATAAAGTTTAACGTGTTTCTTGCCGCATTGCTTTTGGAAACGAAATTTCACGATGAATCGATGTTTTGTGCGAAACAAACTTTGGTCGCGCGAGAGTACCATATGTAAATGGATTTTTAAATGGACTTAAACGAAGAAAGTGACTCGTCGGAGGATTTTTCCGGCCGGCAGCCTAGTCAGGTAGAGACGATTATGTTTAAGTAATCAGTGATAATAATCATAGTTCCATGCACATCCGAATTACCAAAGATTACTAGACGAAGATAGTAAGAGTGTAATCTAGATACGTATGCAAAAAGAGAGTGTATCGTTAGCGATTATATCGGTAATTATCGACGAAACCTCGGACATTGATAGACATGAGGGATGTTTAAAAAAATATATACTACTGACAACACACGTTTGAGCATTTCTAAAGATCTCACATTGTCGATCTAGCATACTCCAAGAATTTGAGAATTTTTAGAGAACAAAGCAAGATCGAAAGATTTCGAAAGATCTAAAAAGATCTCGAGAGATCCGAATATTTTTCAAATATTTGCAAATATATTTCTAGCAATCTCAGTGTTTTTTTTTGGAAAATCTTTTTTGCATATTTTTTAAAATTATCTGATGCAACAGGAAATATAAAATTTCATATCAAAGTTTTCCATTAATTAACGTGTTTAAACATATTAAAAAATATTTAATTCGTGAATTCTCCGGAATTTTGCACGACAAATTAATTTTTTCATCAGCTTCGTGTTGCGTCAATTGGCCAAAGTTTATTAAATATTTATTACACATGTGTCAATGATTCCTATATTAAATACGAAGAAAGAATAAAGTCGGAAATATAGTTTTGGAGTGTTATCATTGCTAAAAGATGCGGCGATCGCAAGCAAGGATTGGATCTGATAATCAAAATAAAATCATGCAAAGCTCGATAAAAATTTAGACGGCGTCTGCGATTTTTATATATTTATTTAACGACGTAAATGTATCAAAGTTTTTGAAACAAAAAAACGGCGTTCCTCTGCTCGTGCCAAAAAAACGTAGCTAAGAAAAAATTTTTTAACGAGCTGCTGGAATTCAAAGGGCATATGACATATATATATTTTTGCAAACCGCGATCTCCGGATTTTTCGCGAGTTACTCGAGGGACGACGAAGGAAGGATCCCGCTTCGATCAAGCCTTTCGCGCGTTATATTCTTGCATTTCACGTTTCCTCTCTTCAAATTGTCATCTTTGAATTCGAGCAGTACGAGGCGCACGCACACAAATACACCTATACACATGTGTTTGACGTGAGTATGTTACACGGCTGCGAATAAGGATTAGGTCGTCGCGAGTTCGCGAAACTTAATCGAATCGAACCTCTCAAGCATGTATGAAATGTCATAGAAAAAAAAAAACTATATTGTAGATTTAATATTTTTCCAAATATCGAAATATTCGAAATTCGAAAATATCGGGAAATATGATGATCGATGTGTCAACCACGCTCTATTTTCACAAAGTTAACTTGACGCTAAAAAATATTTATATTCCTTTCTCTTTCATTTTTATTCTATAGCGTTGATAAAAAACGATACTTTCATGTCTAGTCAATTATTTGAGTCTGAAATAATACTTGAGGGGCTGAATAATATACGTGAGATTTTACGGAAACTTGAAATGTATCGTGAGCATCATCGTGGCAATGCCATTATGTCAATCATGTAGAAATTAAGATAACAGAACGAGAGAGAGAGACCACAGGATGTCACCAAACATTACAAAGGCGTTGATCTTTTTTTAAAAGATTTTGTAAAAAAGTTTCGTCACATTTTTCTTTCATTATTTCAAGTAAGTGTAAATCATCACGAAATACTTTACGAGCATCCTTTATCTTGTCACGTGATGCTCGACAGAGAGAATCGATAGGTCGCACGTTAGGTATGTGTAGCATAGCGATGATTAAGTGTACATGTTAAAGAGCGAAGCAATTATTTCCAACTCTATAGGCAAATTAATGTGCTACATTCGAGTGCAACTATTATCGCATAATAAATAGTTACGTACGTCTCTCGATTCCGACGCAACTTGCTCATCTCCTCTCTTATAATTCATCTCTTTCTTCATCATTTAATTTTTAAGGTAAAAGGTAAGTTTTCTAATTACGATAAAATCTGAAAAGCAGCAGAAGCACTTCTGCGATAATTTCAAAATTTCACTCACGCATTCGTGAAGCTCAATCTTTTGCGGATCGAACATATATCAATTCTCAACGGTATATAAATTCCCGAATATACGTAAACTGTCGCGTTAAATTCCGAAACACCTTGAAGTTTGAAATCGAAGAAAAGCCAACGCTTCGCTAACAGCATCCTCCATCTATCCATCTTCCCGAATAGCATTCGAGCTCAATTTTCTCGCCACACACGAGCATACACATTCGGTGCTCTCTCACGAGGCGCAAGCGCGAGTTGTAATTAGCATCAAATTAGGTATTTAAGGATTTCACGTTCGTGTGTTCGAGTCAGAGGCGGATAAGCCGAAAGGAAGATACGACGACAACGACGATAAGAAGACGAAGAGAAAAAAAAGAAGAAGAAGCAGCATCAGGAATAGAAGGCAAAGATCCAGAGGGAGGAAGAGAGAGAGAACGAGGGGGTTCTACTTAGGGGTTATACCAACATAGCGAGTCCTCGTGTAAATTGTAGGCCTCTTGAGTCGTATAAGTGTATACCGCATGCCGCATATATTTTGTCGGCGCTCATATAAGTTAATTTTCAATCTATATGCGGGCTCTCTCTCTCTCTTTCTCTCTCGGATGGCGCGCGGCGACTCATCAACGAAATGAAGAAATTGAGACTCTCGTTAATATTTAATGAGCAGACGCGCGCGCGGATATACAATGGCCGTCGGGCCCGACGGACCCCAAAATATCACCTCCCCGCGGTCGCGTCGCATTTACATGCGCACACTCGCGCGAGAGGCAGAGAGAGAGAGAGAGAGAGAGAGAGAGCCGGGCGAATAAGAAGTTTCGGGCCGTATATATTCGTGTGTATTTTTCTCCTGCGTGGAGAAGGCCGCGCGCACCTGCCGCGCGGAGGACCGTTTCTTCTTTTTTCCGGCACGACGGAATATAAGCGATTGACGTTCGCGTCTTCCGATTCTTCGCCGATCCGCCTTTGGCTTTGTCCCAAATGAATATCTCATTGCATTTCCTTCTCGTTGACGGCTCGCGCAATCGGTGCATTTTACAAGGAACATTTTACTCTTACGAATTACTTGATAAGTCTATATGTTTACGCATTCCGCATAGTTGTATTTTTAAAAATTTAATACTTGAATATTTGAGCGAATAAAGTTAATATATTTTGCTGTTCATAAAGAATAGTATATTGTGTATCAAGTGCGGAAAGTTGACAATTGTTCACGACTGCGGGGGATGGACGCACGAGCCGACAATGTATTGCCCACGGCTTTAGCCGTGGGCAATGACTTTGAACGCGGCTCAGCCGTAGACAATGGCTTTGAATGCGGCTTATTCACTCACCGCGTCGCCGCTAGATGGCGGCGTGGGAAATCGGCCGCTTTCCGCACAGAAAACACGCACACAAAATGCCACTTTGCCTGCACGTGTAATACAAAAGAATATTTAAATCATCGACCGGTTAACCGGTAATGTATACCGTTTCGTGAGAACTGACTGAATGATAATATGAAAGACGTAATAACGGTATTTATCGCGTTCAAATTGTGACCGCACAATGAAACGAGTCCTGCAAGTCCACACAAGTCTTAGATCGAGATTCTTCCCCTAATAGCAGAGTATATTCGAAGGATACCAGAGGACATCCAACATTTTCTGGATGGTCTCTGAACATTTTCTTCTCCATTATGGTCGGCATGATATAGCAATAACTTGTTATGTGGCAATTTCAAGAAAAGACTGATGAAGGGAAGAATCTTCAAATAATCGCATTTTACAATAACCAAACTATTGTAGTCTCTCATGATATATGAACTGAGGAAAGAAAACTAAAAAGAAAGAAAGGACTGGTAAAGAAGACCAAATTCGGCCTCGCGATGGAATCTAAACTAAAAAATCTTTCTTACGATCTAAGAAAGATGAAAATGTTTTATCTGAGAAGTAATGGGAAAATTGTAGGAATAGTGCAATAGGCAGTTAACCTTTAATGTTTGTTTATACATAGAAACTATCAATTTTTCCGGTCCTTCTTTGCGAGAATAAAGGTTTTGGGTTCGAATTTCATATTCAATGTGCATTTTAGGTATATTTCATTTTTCAATCTTTTTTGTTCGCCTTGATTTCTTATTTTTCAAAGAAAGTGATAAATCGTGGGATAACAAAAGGACAGGCACCTAAACTAACGACAATGCATATTCTTTTTCTTCTGAACTTTAAGTTTTAACTTGTAGCTGACAATAAAATATGTCACTCAGTGACACATTAAATTATTCGAATCAATAGGTTGTTGCAGTGCTTTTGTTCGACATCGAAAGGAAAAAGACAATCCCTGAACTAATGCAAGAATGGAGTCAACAGATCTATAAAAATCACCTGTCGCCAATAAATTTGAGAATTCTTTTGGGAATACAATATGCTCGAAATACGAAAGAAAATACGTTGTATTAAAATAATAAAGTAATTTTATTAAAATTTTATTAAAATAATTTTATTAAAATGTGAATTTCAGAGAGGAAAAATATTTTTAATATTTATTTCGAAAAAATGTCTCGATATGATAGAATTATTGATCGCGTAATTGTATCGTTGAGTTTCGAAAATTTAGCCGTGGGGATTTCAAGAAAATTTAATTCCGAGCTTGACAAACTACATGTTGTCGATCAATCGTTTACAAGTGTTTGTCATGTAAGTTGTCGGTCTCTCTCGATAGATTGTTCGACCTTTGACATTTGCGGAATAGCGACTGCAAGTAACAGGTTGTCACAGAGTTCGTAGACTGCTAGAAGGCACGCAGACGGAGAAAGAAAAACATATATGACCAATTGAATTTTACGTTAATTAGCTTAAGCATCGTTAAGTCACACGCGCAAGACCGTCCAGGTGTCACGAATAATAAAAGACCTGTTGCAACGAAAAACACGCTCAAGTAAGATTGACATTTTCGCAAAGAAACAGTTTTAATAAAGAGAATTAAATATATGTGTTGTGTGTGTGTATCTAAAAATAATATTTTAACATTACCAAAAATTTTATTTCGTAAATCTTGAACATGTATAATTTAAAATATTAATAAAACATTAATTCTCTTCAACAAATTTCACAGAATTTTTGAAACCTCAAATTATACGAATTGAAAGTGTTTCTCGAAAAAATTTAAAATTCCTGTTAAACGAAATCGGTCCGAATCGAATATTCGCAGTTATAGACGTCAATTTCCAGCAAATTAGTCGTGTTCCCTAATTTCTAGGATTCGAAAACTAGTGTTAAATCATGAAAATGATCAGATGACAAAAACGATCTCGCACCCGGAGGGAAGCATCGTGTTGCCGCGCGATAAAAACCCGGCTGATAAAAAACGCGTCTCATGGATGAAGGACAAT